CGAGGTCAGTGACCACCCCATCATGGTTATCAGGGACGTTAAGCTCTTTCTTGAATAGTTCTTCTGTGTAATCTTGCCACCTCTTCTTAATCTCTTCTGCCTCTGTTAGGTCCCTGCCATTTTGGTCCTTTATCATGCCCATCTTTGCATGAAACGTTCCCTTCATATCTCCAGTTTTCTTGAACAGACCTCTGGTCCTCCCTATTCTATTGTTTTCTTCTATTTCTTTGCACTGTTCATTTAAGAAGGCGTTCTTATCTCTTCTAGTTATTCTCTGGAACTCTACATTCAATTGGGTGTATCTTTCGCTTTCTCCTTTGCCTTTCACTTCCCTTCTTTCCTTGGCTATTTGTAAAGCTTCCTCAGACAGTCATTTTGCTTTCTTGCATTTCTTTTTCTTTGGGATGGTTTAGTTGCTACCTCTTGTACAATGTTGCGAACCTCCATCCATAGTTCTTCAGGCACTCTGTCTATCAGATCTAATTCCTTAAATCTATCAGAACAAAAATGGGCATGCAACCATATGGGCTGCAAATTTTTCCTCTCTTCTTGAATATCAGTTAAGTCTTCCAGTTCTAATCCGATCAAGCCAAGCCCATCAGGCAGTTCCCAAGTCTTCACCAGTCCTTTGAGTACAAGCTCTCCAGTGGTTGGAGGTAGATCACTCAGTTCTACTTAATTCCAGAGGAAAGCATGGTCCATCCCACCAGAGCTATCAATAGCTTGGTTTCCTTTGGGAAAAGGGCATCTCCTGAGGAGTTTGTATGGCCCTGGGGCATTCCTAGGAGCACTTCAGTGTAAGGTACCATCGCTTCCACTAAACATCTTTAGGAAAATGTTTTCTCATGGGCTCTTGGGAATACTGTGTTACAGAGGAACTATGTTCTGACATTTTAAAAAAATCCTTCTTCCTAAGAGAAAACGGAGATTTGCTAGATAAGCATTGGTAGATGGAGCACAGATTGCCCGTTCCGCTTCCTTTAATGCAGCACCTGTTCTACCAAGAGCTGATGCTGTAGAAAATCAGGTGGAGGTTCTTTCTTTGCTCTAAGCAAAGTCTTTCCATCCAATCCTGTTCTTTCCCCTGCTTTCAAATTCTGTAAGAGAATAAAAACAGCCTTTCTGGATCCAATGAAGGGCCAGTCTGGTCTAGCTTTCTGCTCTCACTTTGGTCCACCACTGGGAGGTCCACACTGACCTTTCTTTAAATTAAATAAATTTTTTATTAAGTGATTCTTTCACTTAATAACAGGCACACAAAGGTATGTAATCTCTCTGAGGCCACAGGTCGCATTGACCCATCGATGGCCTTATCCTCTAAGAATTTGTCTTGTGAAGCTATCCAAACAGGCAGCTGTCACTCTTGTCTTGTGGAAGAGACTCAGAACCTTCATCTGCACCTAGAAGGAGGTACCATTTCTGAAGGAGGGACCTGGCCATTTCTACCTACTGAGCGCTAGAGAGCCAACTGTGTGATGCTTAAATAGCAAACACTGCCTAGTAAGCTCAGTGCCGGGATGAACTTCGAACTAGGTATCTCCCCGCTCATGTTGGCAGGTGCCGCATCTGCTGCTGCTTCCTCGCTGCTCCTTGCGACAGGTCCGTGTTGCCCATGATGGTCCAAGCAAATGCCTCACTCTTACTCAGACTTAAGTGTCGGAGCATCATGAATGTATTTGGTAGCTGGGGTTTTTGCGGTGCAGGAACAAGGAAGGGGCTAGTGGTCCTGACCACAACATTGATTCAGAGCTGAGCTCCTTCTTTGAAAGCTGCTACATGCGCCTTAGCTTTGTACCCTAGAGCAAGATCACTCGGAGGCACAGTGGATGGAAGATGATACCCAGCTCTTCCTCTCGTTCTCCACCAATCCAGGTGAGGCAGTGGCTGTGCTGAACCGGTGCCTGGCTGAGGTTATGGGCTGGATGAGGGCCAATAAACTGAAGCTCAATCCAGACAAGACGGAGGTCCTGTTGGTTGGCGGATCGGGCTTCGGGGAGGGTGAATTGAACCTAGTCCTGAATGGGGTTGCACTCCCTCTTAGGGACAAGGTCAGCAGCTTGGGAGTGCTCCTCGACCCAGAGCTTTCACTGGAAGCTCAGGTGACAGCGGTGGCGAGGAGTGCTTTCTTTCAGCTTTCTTTCCATCAGCTGTGCCCCTACCTGGAGTACGACTGCCTGGCGACGGTGACACACGCGTTGGTGACTTTCCGACTTGACTTCTGTAACGCGCTCTACGTGGGGCTACCCTTGAAGACGGTCCGGATAGTTCAATTGGTTCAAAATAGAGCTGCCAGGCTGCTGCCGGGGACTGGGCATTACGTTTACATGACTCCAGTCCTCCGTCAGCTTCACTGGTTTCCCATTGAAGTCCAGGCCCAATTCAAGGTGTTGGTGATGACCTATAAAGCCCTTAACGGCTTGGGACCTGGTTACCTGAAGGAGCGCTTACGTCCATATATGCCCGCCCGCCCGCCCCTTGAGATCTGCGGGAGAGGCCCTTCTCCGGGAATCCTCTGTGAAAGAAATTAGGAGGGTAGTACTCGGAGGAGGGCTTTCTCTGCGGTGGCGCCCAATCTATGGAATGCGCTCCCCAGAGAGGTCCGCCTGGCGCCGTCGTTATTTGTTTTTCGGCGCCAGGCGAAGACCTTTTTATTCAAATGTTATTTTAATTGTTAATATTATTTATTCATTTTATTCTTTGGCCAGGGTGACTTACTTATATTATTCTATTTTGAAGTTTATTTATGGTTGTGAGCCACCCCGAGGCTTCGGCGAATGGGGCGGCATAGAAGTCTCCTAAATAGATAGATCGATCGATCGATCGATCGATCGATAGATAAATAAATGTGTTCCACGCAGAGTACAGAAGAAGAGCACATGGACAGACTTGGGGCTTGACCGTCATTCTCATCATGCTATTACAAGAACTCTGAGGCATCTGTAAGCACTTCCGTTTTTCTGTATTTTGATTCCATAGATCCAGATGTACCAGCTGTCGAGGCTGCTCCATGATTATCACAGGGACCTCTACAACCATCTTGAAGAAAATGAGATCAGCCCTAGTCTTTATGCTGCACCCTGGTTTCTTACGTTATTCGCCTCACAGTTTGCCCTGGGATTTGTCGCCAGAGTGTTTGGTAAGGCAGATTTTTTGTCTCTGAATGAAGTGAGGAATCATTTCTAGACTGGAGTAGTTTCTCTCCACTGCTTTTCCACCCTTGCATATTATTAGAGACAATGTTACTTGTGTTGAATCCTGTTCAGTAGTAATTGTCATGAATTTTAAAGATGGTGATCTTTTTAGCTTTTAGTTGACGCCATTTTTCTAGTTCATATTAAGGCAAAGTGGGTTTCCTAGCTCTTTCTCATGAGTGGAGAACATAACTTTTCACAGGCCATATTCCTCTTCCCTTTTCCTATCACATCCAACCAGGCTTTGTAATCTGCGTAGTTCAGCCAGAAGGCCCTGATGTTCAGACCCTTTAGAAAGTACCAGTTCCCCGGCTTCTTCGCGGGAAAATCATGATGATTAAACCAGTATAAAACGGATGCAAGTTTAGGGTGCACAGTCCATTTAAAGTCTTGTAACTGACACAGACTTTGCCTGATGTCGCATTTATGCTTACGTGAGATTCAGAAAGAAGGCCACACATTAACCATAAAAGTCATGTTTAGTGAGATGTGGCCCATTACTTTTGTGTGGGCTTGACTGACAGCACCACTATTGCCATATCATTAAAACTGAAGTTTGTTGCTGTTTTGTGACATTATATTGGAGGACGGTAGCAAGTATTTCATTTTGACAAGAAAAAGGAAACCCAGCAAGATGCTCACATTGCATAGATATTCATGCACATGGCTTTATGTAAATTGCTTGTCCTAAGACTTTGGGACTCTTTTGCCCATCATGAAAGCTGTGTGGTGTAGTGGTTAAAGGCACAGATCTCGGTCCCCGCCCAGCTGGGGAGCCAACTGGGAGACTTTGGGCCGGCCACAGACTTTCAGCCGACCCTACCTCACCTTGTGAGAAATAAGATTGATGGCAGCAGGGGGCAAATGATATAAGCTGCTTTGAGGTTTGGTTTTGTAATTGTACATTTTTCGCACTGGTACTTCTTACGTTCAGGTGTGTGCATAGTTTTCTGTTTGCATTGCTCACTGTTTTAGATGTAAAGGAAAAACAGAACTTTTATAATACATTCCTCGGCATGTTTATTTACTTAGAAAGGTTCAGTGGGACTTTTCTGCAGATAAATATGCCGAGGATTGCTGCCTAGATTAACTTAAATATATAGGCTTACAGGAATCAAATTCATTTGGGAGAAAAAATGGAAATAATGTATAAATCACATGCTGAAAGTCTGGATTCGTTCCACAGCCAGTCTCCACGAAGAAGCAGTTCCCTAGAACGCTTGATTCTAAGCACTGTTTTTCATTGAATAAGCAATCTGATCTGTTGTTTCGTTTCCCTTCCCCTGCCCCAGATATTATTTTTCTTCAGGGAACAGAAGTCATATTTAAGGTAGCACTAAGTCTGCTTAGTAGCCAAGAGGAACAAATTAAGATGTGCGAGACGTTTGAAAGCATTGTTGAGTTTCTTAAAAACACTCTCCCAGACATGACTAAGCTCCAGATGGAGAAGATAATGACTCAGGTAAGTGTCTTTCCCCCTCGCTCCTGAAAGGAGAACGCTTAGCAAGGCATCATCATTGCCGGCCCTCCTCTCAGCATGTCTGAGAGGCTGGGCGATGTGTGAATCAGGAGCCCCTGGTTTGAACCTTTGTTTCTGGACACACTAGGTAGCTCTTGGCCATCTCTCTGGAAGGACAGAGTCGGTGTGCAAATGTCTCGGGCAGGCTACGCTTAAGTGCGTGGAGGGGAATGTTCGTTCCCTGACTAGTGTGCCCACGGGATAATAAAGTACACGACTTGAAGCTTTCGCTGATTTCTCTGTGCTGTAGTTTTGTCAGGTTTGTTACATGATGTTGGCAATGGTTTTTTAAAAAATTCTAGCCGTCCCATTATCCAGGCACTCTTCTTTCTGTGAGATAAGTCTGTTGGCTTGCATAGGGGTTTGGCCAGATCGGCTTGAATCCCACAGACATGACTGAGCTCATGCTCATTTTGGACAACACACTCCAGTCAGCCTTGATTCAGGAACACCCTCTACTCTGAGATCGGGTTCCCACCTCATGTTAAGCCGAGGTGAATGGTCGTGGAGTGGCTAGGTGCGATAGCCAAACCCAGAACAGCCTTCCCAAGATTTTGCGCAAGCAAGCCACCCGGAGAACCCATGGCTTGTATCAGGGTTGTTTGGAGTGGCCCGTTCTTACGTGGTTTAACGTGGCATCCAAGCAGGTAGGGTGATACTTATCTGGATTGTCAAGAGAGCCAGTTGGCAGAAGAAGAAAAGAACGGGAAAGCCAGCTTTTGAGAAAATCTGAAGCTGCAGCATTGCCTTATTCCTTCTCAGTCTCAGGATAGATTCCCTCCTGGCCCTGGAATATAGAAGAAAGGACACCAGCAACAGGCCTTTGCTCGCGCGCGCGCGCACGCGCGCGCGCTCTCTCTCTCTCTCTCTCTCTCTCTCTCTCTCTCTCTCTCTCTCTCATGCACACAATCATTCTTGTATGTGAGTGAATGTCTTTTGCTAAGAATTTCGCACAAATTTCCCCTATTTTATTGCTCTGCTGTGAAATGTGTACGATTTCCACTTCCACCTCATTACTCTGTCATGAGCATTTTGCAGACTTAACCTCTGTTCTATTGCTCGGCTGTGGATTTGTGAAATTTTTGCCATCTTGGAAGCACCCCACTTACAATGCACCGGTTCCCTGTAGCTGACAGGTCTGAGGTCAGCTGTTGGATGGGCATCAGGGTTACAGAGCAGCGAGTGGGAACACAAAAATTCTGCAAAAGCCACAGCAGAGCAAACGAACAGACAGAAAAAATGCACAGATTTCATCATGGGGAAAAGCACGAGTGCCTTCCTGTGTCTCAGAAAACAACTTCCCTTTTATGATCTGATATTGATTGATTGATAGATTGATTGAATGTCTATAGTGCCCATTAGCCGAAAAAGGCTCTCTTTTTTGATATGTGGGAGAGGAAGGTTTCCCTTGTCAGCAGGCAACTTCAGTTGCAGCAAGGATGCTGACCTAGAGCAGAAGGAAATGAGGATTTCTGCTGCAAAGGCTTCTGGGATATGTGCACATAGCAGGCTGAAGCCCAAGAGAGAAACAAGCTGCGGGAAGCCACCGAGGGCACAATTCTGTGTCGGGAGTAACGGACAAGGGTGACTTCCTCTCAGGGATGGCCAAATGATCTCCTGTATGTGATCCTTCTTGGGAGAGAACCGTGAAGTCCTTCCTATCTTGTGCCGCCAAATTAGGGCACCTTCCCAGGTGTGCTTCTCTTCAGATCCCAGACTCTCGGGCAGCGATGCTTTCCTGAATGAACCAGCCCAGCACCCTCACCAGGTGCTTGGTTTTTTTTTCCTCTGGTAGGTTTTTGAGATGGATATTTCCAAACAGCTTCATGCCTATGAGGTGGAGTATCATGTTCTCCAGGACGAACTGCACGAGAACTCCCATCCGTGTGACGATGGTGAGGCTGCAGAGAAACTCGAAAGGGCAAACAATCAGCTGAAGAGGCAAAATATGGACCTGCTAGAGAAATTGCAAGTAAGCTACCAAGGGCCGAACTTGATGTTGGGCAGAGCACTGGAATCGGGGGCCGCCAAAACGTGGCACGGGAGAAGAACTGGGAGAGGATCCGCAGTACTTCCGTGCTCTGCACTGACATATCTACTCCTTTCTTCAGAGGAGACTCCTAGACTCGGATGCTTGTGGCTTGAGGAGGGGATTACACTGAAAGACCATCCTTAGCCCCATAGAGAAGGTCTCAGCTCCAAATGGCATCTCACCCCAAGCCACCTGCTCCTTTGCTGGAGCTCCTCAGGATTGATTCTGGTTGGGCTGGACATGAAGAAGAACCCGGCTGGTTGTGTGAGAGGGATCCAGTTGTGTGAGAGGGATCCAGCTGGGAAGGCCACCAGTTAATGGAATTGATAGAATCAGATGGTGATCCCTTTTCTGACCTGCGTTGTCTCAGGTGCACTTGTGCAGTTTGTGAAGCACCCAGAAAGTTAGGTAGGGCCATCTTGAATCCATTTCCATTTCTCTTGGCACTCACAGTTTTGAAAGTGCCGGTATCAGTAATCATGGACAAACACAAGAAATTAACATGGGTTAACATCCCAACTCCCAGTTTTGGTGTGTAATTTATGCACAATATGTACAAACCGGATCTTTTTTAATTTATCCACTCATTGCGAGTCATCTTACATTTCAAAAAAGAAAGCCAAACAACTTACAGTTTCAGGACCTGAACATAAAACCAAATATCACTGGTACTCAGAGTGAGCTCAGCTATCTGACTGTAACTCATCATGTAGCCAAAACGAGTGTCCAGCCCAAGAGGAAGTTTATCGCCCAAAGTTTACAGCAGAAAGATCTTTAGTGGGAGAGAACCCTAAGGTGGGGAAACTAAAATCAACCCAGTGAGAATTGAGCATGCCCATTTGCCTGACTGTTACTGGGAGAAATTGGAGAAGGAAATAGATGGACAACGGGGAGGGAGCAGGAATGGAAAATCGTGTTGCTGGGCATCGGTGTTCCTGCCGTTCTTAATACTCTCAAGCATGCTCATGTTTTAAAATCGCCTCCTTGCTTCTCTCACAACAGGTAGCTCATACTAAACTCCAGAGCATGGAATCAAGCCTGGACGATTCCTTGGCAAGGGAGCAGAAAATGAGGAACTTAATCCAGTCCCTGGAACAAGAGAAAGTGCTCTATCAAAAGACTCTCGAGAAGATCTGTAGATACTTGCCTGAAGAAGCACTGGCTGACTGCGAACAGCTGCTCAGAGAGGTGAACTGTAACACAAGCAAAATCTCCAAATAAGCCATAAGTAAAAGGTTGGAGGCAACACAGTTTCTGACAACAAAGGAAAGGAAAGCAACGCACAGGCTGCTGAGGAAGGTGCCTGCATGAACTCACACAGGTCCTGGGATTCTTACTTCAGCAGAGAAGGCCTTTTAAATCTTGATATGCAAATCCCAGGTTAAATGCTTGTAATAATGTGTGCACATGAATTGTAATGCGCAACACAAAACAATTAGATGTATAATATTTAGGACTGATCTAAAGGAAAAGGGATTAAATGACACCCTTTGAGACCGCGGACAACTAAAATGCCATCCTCCGTATTGTTCCCTTCACTTGGAGTAAAAGGAACATGTTGTGTCTTTTCTATATATTGATTAATACTTGAAAAGAAAAGCAAGAATGTAATTTTTCCCTCCAAAGAACAGCATGTTTCCCATATTACTAGGGGATTTCTTTGTGTTTTTGTTTCTGCGAATTTTTTGTGTGAGAACTCCCTGTAAGCTCATATGTGCCTATAATTAATTCTACTGACAATTGCATATGTGCAACGATCTTTCTGACCAGCTGTCATTTTGCTCCTCTGCTGCTGAGGAAAGTTAGCCATGCCAGGTTGCTTTTGCGTGGGTCTGGAAAAGTCACCAGGGCTTATTTTCCCAAGCCATTCTTCGAGAAGCCAGAAAAACAAGTCCATTTCTCTCTCGTTTTCATCCCTGTACACTATTATGTGGAATTAAAAGCAGAAGCAGACGAGCCTAGAAGCCTCACAGGACAGACCTGTTGTTGGGTGTCTGTCCATTTCTGTATAAAATGGCAAATGGGAGATAAAACATCAGAATGTTCCCCCCATAAAATATTCCTGCATATTCCAAACCCACCTGTTAAGTTTTGACAGTAGCCAGTTGGGATACATGTAGGTGGTGTTTGAATGTTTTGTCACAGGAGATATTTCATCACTTTATTTGGTGCCTGGCTTGGGACACCCATCCAAAAAAACCCTTCACAGGGTTTCTGGTCATCTGGTGTTGCACATAAGATGTGGCTGGGCTTCCGTTCGAAGGCTGTTTGCTGCAAACATGGGTTTCATGGCGCGCGAGAGATCTGGTATATTTTTTCCACTTCCACCTCTGTTTAAAGGGCCAGTGGCTCGTCCACCTTGTTTCCTTCATTGGGAAGTGAGCACTAGAGAAAACGTAAGTATTAGGATTCCATAAATGTGTGAAATATAATGCATCAATGATACGCTAGACTCAGAGAAGCAGATAGACTTAACTGTATTAATGCTACTGAGAAGTTGTTCAAACATAGCAACTGGTACATTTCAGCTTAAAATGTCTGTCCTGTAGAATGCTTTAAAAAATAAAAATCATAGATACAGTTTGACGTTTTTCAGGTAGCTTTTCCTCTTCGATTAGTCTCTCTTCTGCACATTTCTGAAGATGTGCTACCTTTGGAAGGCACTTCCGTCATGTAGACCAGACACTGAAGTCAATGCTTGACCCAACAAAGCAACAAAAACGGCCGTCTATCTTAGTTAGGAAGTGCACATTTCATTTTGGGACATGCTTGAACTGTTGTAACATTCGGTGGGAATTACTTGTTATTGATCCAGATATTATTTTTAATAATAAGCAAAGTGCCAAATTCAGCCAAGTGTCTTACTTGTACGAGTTTCATGTATGCTGGGGTGGGTGGGTGGGTGGGTGGAGTGTGGGGAAAGGTGCCAGCACTTCCTTTGTAACATGGATTATGCAGATAACAAGCAAAACCGAGGGGAAGTAGAGCTGGTTTTCTGTTTTCCCGCTGCAGTGTGTGCCTTTCCTTCCCATGATGCATTGTTGTTAGGCCAAAGTATGGATGGCGTTATCATGGGCATGGTTCACCAGGAGGGAAGGGGAGGGAAGCGAGGGAATGGAAGGCAGTTTAGTAAATCCAACGGTGCAAGCTAAATATCTAATCGACTGTGCTTGGGGTTTTTCTCTTGTCCCTGCTGTCTCTTACCAGACCTGCAGGGGATATGGAGAAGTTGTAATAACATGGCATTTTACTTGGTAGAGAAAGTGGCTTCAGGGGGAATTTTTCTGGTTTTGTGTTTGTTTGTTTGGCAATTTCATCTGAGGCAAACTTAGGCATACGGAACCAGAACATACTGTTAAACTGTGTATTGCAATGATTGAGCTGCGACAGCACATTTCTTTTATTTTTTTATTTTTATTTTTTTAGAGGCACAGAAAGTTTCATCCTGTGTTGGGCTTAGTGACTTACTCATGTATCACCTGGAGAATTTCCAATAAATGCCATTGCTGCATTTCCCTCTGTCTGTTTTCATTTGCGGCACAGATCTCTATGCAGAAAGAGTTGATAATGGCACAGAACAATATAACATCATTCATAACAGTGCAATCCAGGGTCACACAATTAGATTGACTGACACTAAAATCAGGACTGATGGAAGGAAGTATTTCTTCACATTTTTGACTCCCTGCCCCCTTAAACCCCTAGATTATCTGCTCAACAGTATCTTGGTGTTCAGAGGAGGGCGGCAAAAGGTGATCAGGGGACTGGAAACAAAGCCCTGTGAGAAGAGATTGAAAGAATTAGTCAGGAAAGGAGAAGACTGACGGGAATATGATTGCACTCTTCCAGCACTTGAAAGGCTGCCACGCAGAGGCGGGGCAGAATGGCTTCCTGGACGACAAGACACCGAATGATGGGCTTGAGCTACTGGAAGCCAGATTCTGGCTGAGCGTCAGGAAGTTCTTCGTGGCTGTTAGAGCAGTATGGCGATGGGACCAAGAATCCAAGGAGCCTGGTGCCCCCTGCCCCATTAAGCAGTTTCTGCCCTACCACAGAACAATAGCATGTACGGCACCTTTTATTATACACACACATTAGAGCCTGACATAGCTGAAGCTGCAGCCTAGCTGGAGGGTTGGATGTAGTGCTGGTCATTTGCGAGCCTAACGGGAAATGCTAGTGGGGCAACTTTTCCCCTTTCCCTGCAGATTGAGAGGAGAGAAGCTGAGATGCTTATCTCAAGGCCAGGCTCCCCAGGTGGGCAGATGGTCTTTGGGAGGGGTGGGAGGGGACTTGGAGCAGAAGAGGTTCAGGTGAGGCCGCCATGATGCGTCATCAGCAGCGGAAGGCGGTCCAATGAGCAGAGGAAGGTGCACTCCCTCTTAGGGACAAGGTCCGCAGCTTGGGAGTGCTGCTCCACCCAGAGCTTTCACTGGAAGCCCAGGTGACAGCAGTGGCGAGGAGCGCTTTCTTTCAGCTTCGGCTGATCCATCAGCTGCGCCCCTACCTGGAGTACGACTGCCTGGCGACAGTGACACACGCGTTGGTGACTTCCCGTCTGGACTTCTGTAACGCGCTCTACGTGGGGCTACCCTTGAAGACGGTCCGGATACTTCAATTGGTCCAAAATAG